CGCGATCCCGCCCCCCATGAGTGCCCTGCTCGCCCCTGCTCGCCCCGCCCGGAGAAGCGCCCAGGGCGCACCAAAAGCCGCGGCCAGCTGGGGAAGGGCGCTGGAGCGATCCCATCAGCCACCGTCCGTGAAGGATTGTGGGAGTTGTAGTCCAACATCTGGAAGGCCGCCGCTCACCTCGCCTGGGCGGTTTCCACCGGGCGCCGTTGCCTGGATGGTCCCTCCGAGAAAAATAAAATAAAATAAAAGACATGAAAACATGGAGCACCTTAAAGGCGAACCATGCTATTTTTAATGTAAGCTTTCATGCGCTTTCATTGCGCTGCGATGTTTTTTAAATGCACCGGTCGGTTAAAGCGATTCCTGATTTAGAACGTTCTTGAGTTACTTTTAGAAGCAGTCGGTTAAAGGGGTCGTTGGAGACCCCCCTCAAAGTAATGATCCTTTATATTGGGAAAGTTGCTTATGTAGGCCAAAAAGTAAGCGTTCTCATTTCTGTGGCTTTGTTACATTTTTTTTGAAAATGTAACACCAAAGAATTGGTGCTACAATTGGTGTTTTGTAAAACCAAATAACTGTTTTGTGTGTTCTGAAAAACAATTCTTTGGTTTTCTGCTTTCCTGTTTTAAAATAAGCAAATAAATCTGAATGATTGAAAAACACAAAACAATTCTTTGGTTTTCTGCTTTCCCGTTTTAAAATAAGCAAATAAATCTGAATGACTACAAACAGCTGGGCTGAGACACAAAGCGTGTCCTCTGCCCATCCACCTTCTCCTTGCTTCAGCGGCTCTAAAGGAGCACAAGCCGGCACTTGAACTAGGTGATATTCCCTCTCCATCTGTAAGGAGGCCACACCACCATGGTCACTACAAAACTAACTGAAAAGTTACAGTTACCTTGAAACAGGAAATAAGTTATCCCTTGTGACAATAAAAAAGTAATGCAGTTTAGTTCATTGTTTAAAAAGGAATAAATTACAAGTAATTATTTGTAACATACTCTTTCCAAATTCTGATAACTCCAAACATGTATTTCAATCCTACTACCAAAATTTCTATAACTCAATATTTACTAGTTATATACAAAACCCTCTGCTTAGATATTGAAGGATTTGGTGGCGCTGTGGGTTAAAGCATAGAAGCCTCTGTGCTGCAAGGTTAGAAGACCAGTTGTCGTAAGATCGAATCCACGCAATGGAGGGAGCTCCCATCGCTTGTCCCAGCTCCTGCCAATCTAGCTGTTCGAAAGCATGTAAAAATGCAAGTAGATAAATAGGTACCACCTCGGTGGGAAGGTCACGGCATTCCGTGTCTAGTCACGCTGGCCACGTGACCACGGAAACTGTCCACAGACAAACACTGGCTCTACGGCTTGGAGACAGGGATGAGCACCACCCCCTAGAGTTGGACACGACTGGACAAAAATTGTCAAGGGGAACCTTGACCTTGGATGTTGAAATCTAAATGTACAAGAACGCAAAGCAATCTTTAGCCCAAATGAGTGTTGCCCAAACCCAGTTTTCAGTGGTCTGTTATGGCTGCAGATGGAAGGTTTCTTTCTGTCATAGTCAATAAGAGTTGAACCTGAGCTGCCCTTCTTGTACCTCATCAAGCAGATCCACTTGGACAAGTTCTTCTGCTTCTGGAAGCAGCCAGTCCACTTCAGAAGGTCATGAGGCTGGCTCGCCGTTCCCTGTTTGTTTTTGCTGGCATTTGGTCTTCAGCGCTCTCTTGACTGTGAAGCATAGCACAGAAATATATATTTATAATATTTTTACCTTGTTCTCCTTAAAAACGACCCAAAGCAGCTTATACCCTTAAAAGACAACATTAAAGCTAACAGCAGTGAGTATCTGTGCGTTCCATGCTGTCAAGTCAGAACTGACTTGTAGCAACCCTAATACGGCTTTCAGGGTAAGTGAGATACTTTTAAAAGCAATGGTTTTACCAGTTCCTCTCCCCCAGTGCGTTTCCGTGGCCAAGTGGGGATTCAAACCCTGTTCTCCAGAGTCTTAATCCATCACTCTGCCCACTATACCACACTGGGAATTCCAGGGAGTATACAAATGCTAAAAAGGATCAAACAAATATCATACTAAAAAACACAAGCAACCCCACTAAACATGAGTTTAATTTGCTTTGAACAGTTTATATTGATGTCTCAAATAATTACTTGCAGAGGGGTTTTGATCAGAACATGGAAAAGCATATTTTGTTCACACACATCTCCCAGAAGCCTCTAGCCCACAGACCCTGTGCAGTTGTAATCTAGAAACAAAAAAAGGGCTGCCTGCCTTTCCAACACATTTTTATTTTTGCTTTCCTATCTGCTAGCTAGTTTATAGTCCATGGTCACTCAGCGATAGTTTGGGAAGAAGTTTTTGAAGTTCTGACCCCCTTACTTTTTCCTCCGTGGCCCTCCTTTGGCTACTCTTGTGTCGGCACTCAAAACTTAGCTAGCTATTATAGAGAGAGTGATAGTTGATGCTATTAAAGAATTTGTCTAAAAATCTTTCCTCCACCATACCAAAATGCCAGCTAAGCAAGTAGCCTTCCTTGAACTTTGCAATATAGACAGTCCCACCTCCAAACGGTGCTCGGCTTTTGTCACTCTTAAATTGCTGATCTGGTCACTCAGGCCTCTCTGGAAAATAGCTGTATGGGAAGGGGAGAAAATATATGCTCTCCTAACAGATCCCTTGTGTTGCACCTGGGGGGAGAAAAGATTTTAAAAGCTTTTGTCCCCAAAGAGAAAAGAAAGTAATGAAAAGGTAACAAAGAATGTAACAATTCTCTCTGTTTGGGGGTTGTGTTAATGGTAGTGAATCATGAGGAGGGGGGAGTAGAGCAGAACAAATTACATGAAAAGTAATTTCCAAGCCCTCCATGTTCAGGAAGCCAGTCCCACCTTCTGGACCTGAAGCTAAGGGCGTATCTGCATAAACTGTCATAAGAATTTGATATTATTTTAATTACATTGGGTCCATCCCAAGGAATACTCAGATTTATAGTTTAGTGGGAGACTTAATTCTCAGCTTTTCCAGTGGACTCCTATGAACTCCAGCCTTTCAGCTCTCTAGCAGAAAAATCCTAAATCTCTCCTTTCTTCTGGTGCTGTCCAGTTGGATCTGACCTTTAGCAGCCCTAATAGGGCTTCCAAGGTAATTGAGATTTTTAAGGAGTGGTTCTACCAGTTCTGGCTGGCTGGATAGCTCAGGGGTTTAGGTGTGCCAGAGGATGGGAATTCGATTCCCCCCACTGGGTCTCCTGGGAGAAGAGCCAGCCTGGGTAGCCTTGGGCCACCTGCACACTCCCAAGATGGCCCCCTAGAGGAAGGGAAGTGGGAAACCACTTCTGAGTACTCTCTACTGGGCAAACCCCAAAAAAGGTGGTCGTGAGTCAGAATAGACTCAATGACCCATGATTTTTATCATTATTATTACTTATCTGTTCTATCTTCGCCACAGGGAGTCTCTATGGCTGAGCATGGATTTGAACCCAGGTGTCCTAAGTGCTAGGCCATCACTCTATCTACTGTGCCACACTGGCTGAAATCTAGAAATAGCTCCCTGTAGAATAGACCCATTAACTGATGGTGGGGTAGATTCACCAAATCTACACTGATTTAATACTGGATTTTAGCCACAGAGTGGCAGCCTGCCAACCCAGTATTCTTCAGAATGAAACTACCGGGGGTGCTGTGGTGTTCAACTGTTCACTACAGATGCCTCTTCGGGACAGGTCAGATCTTAGGCTGAGATCAAGTCCGGATCTGAAGGGATGCTGGCCAGCTCCTTGTTCATGGTGATCTTGTAATCAGAGCCAGGGAGCGTGGGGTTCCTGGTTAAATTTCCCCCAGTGAAATAGAACACTGGGACCATGGTGAGAAAGTTAAATGTGGGGTTTGAGCCACTGGTTCCAGAACAGATGGCAGGGAGGGGGTCCAGCTGAAGCTCTGGCATTGCCTGGGGGTGGCAGGGGCCAACATCCATCATTTGTGTGCCCCTTTGGGTTTGACCATGTATTTGAAAACACAAGAGACATTGAGCAATTCTAGCCTTGAATGACATGCCGAACCCTGCGTTCCGGGGCTGGTGGGGAGTGATCAGGGGCGTCTTATCAGAAGAGGGATGGGGCGTTTTGAGGACGAGACACTTTGGCCCACCAGGGGTGCCTCTGACTGCTGTCATGGGGATGGTCTGGCTTTCAAAAGACACTCCGTGCACTCAGGGACCTGGGACAACAGGAGGGGGAGCGGAATCTCTCCCAATGCAAGTTTGCAGACATGGCTCTTTGAGTTTGCAAGAGGCCCGTTGTCTGTTTTGCCCACATGCCTTGAACGCTCCGGAGTGTGTGACGGGCCAACCTGAACTCAATGGCCAGGGTGGCTGGGTTCGGTCACTCTCTGCTCCAGGCATGTGATCCCTCCAGAGGGGCAATTTAACAAGGTGCCGGCTTGACCTTTTAAGCTCTTAAGAATCTTAAGTCATAGATCACAGGGTCCGGATCTCCCCAGAGTGCTTTTCTTCTGCCAGGGGAGGGAGCAGAGTGAGGAGCAAACTACAAAGGACGGAACCACTTTAAAACAATGTTTGAGTGGAAGACCGTCTCCGTAGCTGGTTGGGATCCAGTATTTGCATTATAGTCAAATACAACAGAATCCTGATTCCCT